TAATAGTTAACTGCCTATTGAACTGATATGATTATTTTGTCAAATGCATATATATTATACAGTTTTCACAGTAGATAGAGCAGTTCAGAGTTTTACCCAGTGCAAGGTCTGTTGTGTGGCAGCTCGGTGAAGCCGTTGTCTATAGCTGGAGGATTGTAAAAAATACTAAAGAGCCCACCAATTACTACATCTCCATCCTTGAACAGACCCTGATCGCTCGGTGTACCCCACTGTGTACAAGTCGCTGTTTGAACCATCTGTAATCCCAACCTGAGCCCCAGCTGACTGCCCACCAGGAGCAGCAATGCGGCTGAGCACAGCCTCAGAGTGAAGAGCCAGGAGAACCAAGACATGGATGCAGCTGTTTTGGACACAAAGTGTTCAGTTAGATACATTCTCATTTGAATAAAAAAGAGGTATAAGAAACAGTTAACAGTTCCTGAAATTAAAATATAATTAAATCCCTTTTATGCATCATTGAGACATTACCCTGTAAATACAATACCTACTTCTCTGCACAACATTGATCTTGGTCTGTCTTTTTATAACATCTGCAAAGCCCATGTTTGTTAAAGAATTGGACAAAGCCGGCGTCATTATATAAACAGGATGGCACTGAACCGAATAACTTCTCTCAAAGGTGAGAGAAAAACAATTATAAAATGACTGACTGCTGTTTGATACAGAAAGTACAGTATTTGCCTGGAGGGCAGTGACCGCAGATATCCCAATAGAGTTATATTTGAATTCCCAACACTCAGAGCATGGATCCACAGGGCCACACCTCTCACACTTTGGTTCTGTTCTTTCAATTAAAGTTCATCATGACCTTTTGGAAAATGTTTTTGTTGCTAAGATAATTTGTGTGTGTTTATATCTGGAAAGGTTTCCAAAGCACCCATGCATTTATTATTGCCAAAGAGAAAAAGTAATGTCACAACAACTCTCTGCCAATTTCAAAGCAGCACCAACATCCCAGGAGTGCAGCCATAAGCATCATAGGCCTGCCGGAGCATCTTGCGTTCATATGGCCAACACATAGCAGATAGCAACTTATACAGCATAAAAACAGGCCAGTCATCACCATTATGACCTTTCAGTGTAGCTGGAAATTAAGGGAACCTTCTACATCTATGTAACTTAGCCCAATTATTTTTGCTAAATGTCACCAATAGGCCATAGCACCAAGAATGGCATGTATCAGTAAAGGACTAAACAGTAAAACAATGGTAGGCCTAAAGGGAAATGGGTTTGGGAAGCAAGGCTGACTTTTCCCTGGTTTAAAACACTACAAGGTGATCTTGTCTCAGATGACTGTTTAAGATACAGGTGTACAAATGCTAATTTACATTTTTTCTTCATTTTACAAGCATTTACATCCCTCTACACACTAGCAGAGAGGAGGCAAAGAGGGGAAGAAAGAAGCTATGGTCATGTTTGTTGTTTTTCATTTTGCATCAGGGCTCACCTGCTACCAGCATTTGTTATTTACAGTAGATTAATTATTATTATGTAGCTACATGAACTTAAACTCGTGGGACTGAGTGAACAATGTGGGCATTCAAACAACCTGCTAAAGAAATTGCAATTGATGGCAAATCCTCACTGTGATTTACACAGGACCTGCCATATAGATGTTAAAACGTGAAGGAAAATATGAGGAGGGAAGGTAAAAACACTTTAGAGATACTTCATTCAGAATTGATATTATGCAACAGAAAAACACTTAGGGCAGGCCTTTGAAACCACTTTATGTTGTCTGAACAAAGTCCAGGTGAGTCTTGTGAGAGATATTCTGGCTGGGGGATTAAACATTTAAAGATCATTGTTTCTAAGTAGTTGATTTGATGGTAAATATTACAAAACCTAGTTAAATAGTACATTCAGGGGCTGTTTAGCAACATGTTTAGCAACATGTTTAGCAGGAACACATATTTGTATGATTGTCTTGTTGCTTGTTGAATATAAAAAGTTGGTTTCTGCAAAGTTCTTTAATCAACCTGCTCTAAAAGTCCTAATCACTTTCACCTTTTGTTATTCTTTGTGAATATAGTGGACACATTATTTGTTTAGTTTAAGCACATGGGCTCACAGCTACTCTATATTATTATTTTAAGGGCAAATACTCTTAGTAGCTGTAGAGAATGAGACATATGCGGCACAGCTGTACAAGCCAATGTGATGTCAATGAAATGTCCATAACGAAGAAATGCAGCGATGAGGTATCAGGACATGGAGTTATACTTTGATTTGTAATGAATCCAGAATGTATGACATTTTTGTTTTTTTAATTGCATTACAGAAAATAAAGAACTTTATCACAATATTCTAATTTTCTGAGACAGTCCTGTATGCGGCACAGCTGTACAAGCCAATGTGATGTCAATGAAATGTCCATAACGAAGAAATGCAGCGATGAGGTATCAGGACATGGAGTTATACTTCCATCTAGTGGTTGGTACTTGTTACATGCAGTGGAACAATTATGTATATTTTGTTATCAACATAAAATATGTTATGTCATTCCTTCTTTAAAGTGATTAGTGTTTCAACTGTAGTTAGATTAATGGATAGCAGATATTGTTTAATCAACCTTTGATGAAGCATTCTGAAGCCACATTTTTCTAATTGTTCGTTATACTGATTTAACTATGCAAAGCCAGACCACAAGACATTGGCCCACTGTAAAAGTAATACATTTATTTAATGAAATGTATTACTTTAAATTTTAATTGTAAATAATTGTATATTAAATATATTTTCATTTGGTGTAATTTTCATCAAAATATTTAGATTCTTTGAGAAAGCAACGAAGAGTTTTGACAGTTAAGGTATACTTTTTATTCAAAACAGAAAAAGAGAACAACCAACAACAAAAATGCCATAAAAATAACTAACATGTTAGTAAGCTTAACATTTGTTGACATCTAAGAACAGAAAACATAAACTTATATACAATTTGAGCCATAATTATGTGTATTTCATAAAAGCAAATAAACTGTTTTAATTATATTGAAGAATTTACACACTTACACATGAACAATTGCATGACATCAGGCTGTGGAAAGTTGGTCGGCCATTTTATCCACATGTTTAAAAAAGAGTTATAAGTTCACATTGACATCAGACGAACTACCTTGCCATCAGATGTTTCTTAGTGTTTTTCTCAGGCTTTAAAATAATTATGAAACATTTTGGGGCAAAAATGCAGAGCAGCAAACCATAGCTAGAAGCCAGGATTGCAAAAATCTCAACAGCGACAACATACTTTCCAGGAGAGCTAACATACGCAGGGACAAAAGCTATCCAGACCGCACAGAAAATCAGCATGCTGAAGGTGATCAGTTTGGCTTCATTGAAGTTGTCAGGGAGTTTACGAGTAAAAAAGGCCAAGAGGAGGCAGGTGCAAGCCAGCAGACCAATGTAGCCCAAAACCAGAGAGAAGCCCACCACTGAGTGTCCTCAGTGGTGGGCTTCTCTCTGGTTTTGGGCTACATTGGTCTGCTGGCTTGCACCTGCCTCCTCTTGGCCTTTTTTACTCGTAAACTCCCTGACAACTTCNGGTAAGCCCGCGGCCCCGACTGGATGAGTCGCGAAGCTGCACGCAGCCAGCTGTTTGCAGAGAATCCTTGAACAAATGTTCCAACCGAACGAACGCTGTAGGCTACAAAAATGTAGCCACGGTACTCTTGTGTAGCGAGAAGATGAAAAGGAACAGATCCTCTGACGACACCGGCTGATATAGCCGGTGTCACGTGGGTCACAGGTGACTTTGTTGTTATTGGTACTCGAGCTGCAATGCCCGTCCCTCCCTGCAGGCCGATCATGCAGGCTGCATGGGGCCTCACATTGCGCAGGGGGCCTCGCACAGGGGGCCTCGGCTTATGAGCTTGGCTTGTGCGCAGTTTTCAGCGCAGTTCTGAGCGCAGTTCTCTGCGCACTCACGTAATCTTTAGCATGTAATAAGTATGTTTTGTCTTGACTATATTACAACTATATTATAATAAAATAATATAGTATTTATATTATTGAATTGATTATGATTATTATTATTAGTAGAAGTAGTTTATTTGCATTAATTATATTTTAATCTTTTTGAGGCTAGTATTTGGCAGGAAATGCAGACGTATTCACCTGTAAACGCATACTGAACATTTACCATTTACCTCACTGTATAAAAAAGTAACTGTGTTGCTAATAATAATAATAAACTCCTGTCGGTTGGGGGAGGGGGGCCTCATCTCACAATGTCGCTTGGGGCCCCACTGGACATATCCGGTGCTAAAGCACCGCCTCTGGCGGTCAGTAGGGACGAAATAGAACTATCGATCATAAATCTATCGATTAGATTTATGATTAGACAATTATAAAAGTAGGGTAGACATGTGGATATTATCCGTGACAAAAATCCGTAACAAAACTTGCATTTATCTAACAGGTTACTTTTCCACAGACCTTATTTCGAGCTATTTTCCAAAATCCTATGGAGAAATCCCATTGCTTTTTTCATAAAGTCCGCGAAAATAAAGCCCACCCATTTAGAGGGAAGATTGGTCAATTGTACTGTCATTTGCCATTCCTCTCATTGAGTTACTGTAGCTGGCCCTCTGTAAATTCATAGCTTCATCAGCTCCTGTCTTCACAGTAACTCGCCGAGACGGCTCAAGGATCTTCTTTCATTTAACCCTTCACATTCCAACAGAAACTGAACAGGCAGATTCAAAGGATTTATTTCCTTGGAAATGTTATTTTGAATACAATTAAATCAAGTTATTTTGGTAAAACTAATGAAAAATATAACAAAACAAATATTTAAAAACGAAATATTTAAAAAGAAATGTTTTTTTTTAAGTTTTCAAATATTATTTTTTAGAATACCTTAGGCCCTAGAGGGCCCTGACGGCTCACCACTGGAAATTGAACAAATTATGCCATGTGCAGGCTGAGGTTTAACGACATTTTGTATCTAAATAAATATTTGTCTTTGTATTTCAGTTGCTCTTAACTACCAGACAGAGGGCAGGATGATGCAGCTCAACAGAGCCAAGTTCATGGTTAATGGAGGAATTGGCTACGTCCTGAAACCTCCTCCCATGTGTAAAGGTACTGCGGCAAATAAATCATAAGCACACAAACAAGCACCGATACATGCAAATCAATGAACCTACAACATGTGATATTTTACACAAGAAGACTCAAGACTTATATTGGTACACAATTAGAAGATCTTACCTAATGATCTCATCTTCATTTTAGTACTTTTATACTGTTTGATTTTAGAGATCCAACTAGGAACAAAGCCCCAGCTTGCTGCACAATTCTTACAATGCAATGCTTGCTGAAAGCATGCATTTACTACTGTCCATGAAGTGTGCAAACTATTATGTATACTATACAGACTATAGCCTCACATGTAAATATAATCTAATAATTTACATAAATGTGTGTTTACCTCTGTTTCACCCTTCATTTTGTATATACGTATTGCATATAACCAGAACAAAGAGATCAATGAGAGAGGATTGGATTTAAGGATTGACTGATGGCATAAATCAATCTCGCTCTGCGGTCTTTCATTCCCTCCAGGCTCCTTCAACCCATTCAGTGATGACCCGCTCCCAGCCTACCCCAAGAAGCAACTCATCCTCAAGATCATTAGTGGACAGCAGTTGCCCAAACCACCAGACTCCATGCTGGGTGACCGTGGAGAGGTATAAACACACCAGTCACACAATAACTCTCCATCTATCTTTTTCACACACATGCACTCAAGCACTACAATGCTTGACTACTGAGAAATGTTCAACTTGCTCTAATCAGAAATCTTTCCAGCATTATAAAATAAAAATATTTGAATGTATTTCTTGCCATCTCTCCCCCACCAGATTATTGATCCATTCGTCGAAGTAGAGATCATCGGCCTGCCAATTGATTGCTGCAAGGAACAAACACGAGTTGTTGATGACAACGGTAAGACACACACAGATTAACATGAACAACATAACACCAGTAATTCAATCACAGCAAAATGTTCTCTTAAAAAGTCTTAAGGCAGCTTTAAATTATATTATAAGAACGTTTAAGTATGCCATATCCTCTTAATGTCAATATTATGTTCACATCTTAACAGTAGGTGAAATCTAATCATCGTATCTTGGCAAATTTCTAATAATTAGTGCCATCATTTAAAAATTTTTTTAAAAAAAGATTACAGAAGAGAAATGAAACCATGGCCACAGGAAGCAGAACCAAGGGATCACCCCTAACACAGATGAGGGCACCCGGCAGAGGAAAGGGAGAAGCCTCCTCTTGGAAAGGTTATTGAGCCCTGGGAGCTCAATTATGAGATTAATGTGCAAAGCACATTGATCCATGAAAAACACAAACCTCATCTTTCCATCTTTCCTCTTTTTCTGTTTATTATAATACATGCTGTAATTATATACTGATGAAACACCTCCCGATTATAATATGCTATGTGTGTTTTTTCCTCAGGTTTTAATCCAGTATGGGAGGAGACTCTGTCCTTCACCCTTCACATGGCTGAGGTGGTTTTGGTGCGTTTCCTTGTATGGGACCATGACCCAATTGGACGGGACTTTATTGGACAACGGACCGTTGCATTCAGCAGCCTGATGCCTGGTATGTGCAGAAATCTTCAGTGTTTCAGTTTTCACTTTTTGTATGTGGATAACTTTAGTGGTGCACAGTATTTACTGGGAATTACACTTCTTATAGCTTTGACTCCCTAAAACATAAACAAATGATTTTCCATGGTCATTGCTATGGTTATGTGCCACATTTTCCTGTGTTTAGTGAACCATGATATTTATAGTAAAATACCTGTGGCTTGGTGAGTTATTCTAGTTATTTACATCCATCAGAGATATCCCTGAACTCCTGATGCCCTCTCCTTCTACACTCACCAGTCTGTTAACAGCTGACATCTTTCTTTGACTCCCTCTTACTCACATGGTTTCTCCCTTCATCTCTAACAACAGGTTACAGACATGTTTACTTGGAGGGGCTGACCGAGGCTTCCATCTTTGTGCATGTGTCAGTGCACGATGTCTATGGAAAGGTAAGTGCTGTACAGCCTGTTCATTGCAGCATCCCCCCGTTAAACCTTTTTCTCAACTGAGTTCAACTGGAAAAGAATACACATCCTTCCACTTAAGCTCAATCCTTTGTCTTTTTAGTGGAGCCCTCTAGTCCTGAACCCCAGCTTTACCATAATGCACTTTCTAGGATCTAACAAGGTATCCTGATGCTCTCAGGCTCTGTTTGGTGCTGCATGAAACAGCAATGCATGATGCACAACTGCAGTTTGTGTCCTGCTGTATCTCCAATGACTTGTGTGTGACATTGATTATCTGATCCATACAGATTTCTGATAAGGTCATTTTTATGTATTAATGAAATCATTTTTGGGTGTCTCATTATGATGCATGCATAATCCTCAACAGCTTCCTTCATATTGTTTGTTGTTGTAACTTGAGGAGTAAGGGTGCCATCTATAGGCAATACATTTAAAAGCATGCAATGGTTAATATTTGCTGTGAACATTAACATTCAAGTTGTGTTCAGTCTATGTTCAAAATGCATCTTGGTTGATAAACACTTTTATCTTTATGTATTTTCCGCTTCTCATTTATTTTTCTGGTCTGTTCCTCTTGCTCTCAGGGTCATCAGCTGCGAGGTATCCGAGGTTTGTTTAACCGCTCGTCCAAGTCTTCCGTGGATACAAACTCAGGTGGCCTTCGGAAACGCTCCATCAGTGATCACCTCCTGCGACGCACAGCAAGTGCCCCAGCAAAGGGACGAAAGAAGACAAAGATGGGGCTATCAGAGTCAGTGGCTTCAATTTCAGACCAAAAGAATGGCATGGGAGCAGAAGCAAGAGCAGAGGGCATGTCAGGGAAGGAAGGAGTTGTGGAGAAGCGTTTCAGCCAGCCACGAGTCCCCCTCACCCACAGACCTATCTCCATGCCCTTAGAAAGGCTTATGCAAGGGCAGTTATCCATCTGCTCCCCAGACAAGGAACTGCATGATATTGGCTCAGACTCAGGCATCGGTGGGTATTTTCCTTTCATCATCTCAGTCAAAGAATTAAGAATTCTATTATGATAGGGATTTAGTAAAATGTGTGTTTCATTAACTAACACAAACCAATAACAACAACAACAACAACTATGTCATGTCTTTATTTGCCTTGGTAACAATTATGCTGTGGTATTTTTTCTCTTTTTTGTGATTGAATGCATGTAGTTTACGTGTCTTGAAGCAGCATTTAGCATTACTTATATTGCAGATTGACCAATGTAAAATGTTTTTTCTTTCTTTCTTTTTTTCTTATCCTGCTACAATTATGTAAAATGCATGTACAGTAACCATGTGAACTGACATACAACAGCCTTCTCTCCACAATACCTTAACATGCCTTTTCTGTCCCATCTTCATTTGTTGTGCTTTTCTTTATAGTAGAGAACTGACTAGGATAATCCTCCAGGTAATCTAAAATACCTATTGTCTGAAGGTTGCATCGTCCAAAACATACCAGTATTGCGTCCTCCCAGTGTATTTTGTCCAAAAGTGGTCTGAGAAGTATATTGCTGTGTCATTTGATCCCATTTGACCAAACCAATCCCTTGAGACCATCTCTTTCCTAATCTGATGTCCACAAACATGGATTTCTCCTATTTTCCAAAAACTCCACAGCCTCATTTTCCAGCTTCCCCTTCACAGTCGTACTTGGTGATCCATTTGTCTGTGTATTGCTATTGCCTTGTATTGGCTGGACTGTTAATTGTCTTCATGTAATCGTTGGTTGGCTTGGTGTTCTTCTTAAAATGATATCAGCCTATTTATACTAATTGTGTTGTTCAATTATCTGTGTTCACAGGAGGTTGCCCCTTCAACAGGCCAAGGTCTTCCTCTTTGGACCCATTCCTCGAATCGTCATTCTCTTTTCAAACAAACATCTCTTCCCCTTCTATGACGTATATCAATAGAAAAAAAGAATGTGATCAATCAGAGGAGGCTTCTTATCTGGTTATTGGTGGAAGAGAAGTGAGTAAGGAAGAGGATTATGCCAATTACCAGTCTAAAGACAGTGGAGTCAATAAACCGAATAACATCTCAACAAGACAAGAGAGAAAGTGTTGTGTCTCACCTTCCTGGAACAGCCCGATGAAATCAGATAAACCAGAAACATCATCAAATAGCACAACAGGCACATCTGCCCCTTCAATCTCAGCATCCTCTTCCTCGAACCCCTCCTCTTTGCACCCTCTTTCCCCTATCAGTGGAGACTGCAATCTGAAGAGTCCCATCTCTTTGCATGACAGCACCATCTCCAGACTCATTGATGCTGTGTCCTTGGACAATGAGCAAGACACATGTGGCTCTATTTCTGCTCTGATTGGTCAATTTGAAAGAACTGTTGAACAGAATGATTCACACACATCATCTCATGATCATACCCCTTTCCGCCAATCAAATGTCAGGCCTACCACTCCTAAAGATCTACGAGATGTAAGGTCTCCTCTGAATACAAGTACTGCATATACTTACAGGAAACACCTAACAAGTCCCCAAAAAGTTGCTCAAAAAACAAATCATGAAATCCATTCACCACGTAAGATTTCCCAGGCTGTCCTGTCCAGCCCAGAAACTGCAGAGCTAGAGGATGTATACACCATTCTGGATGAGGAAGTGCTGTTGCCTGTATCGGTGTACAACCTTCACAAACAGACGGTCCATGTCCAGGCAGACGCTGGGGAAAGCACGTCCTCAAACAGCTTGGGTTCCTCTCCAGCGAAGGTGTTCCAGGGTTCAAGGAAAGGGCACAATGTGAGCTGGGAGGATATGAACAGAAAAAGAGCTGGCTGTGAAAAAATGGAGGAGGCAGAGGAAAGTGTATACGAGGAAGTGTATGATCCCCCAGCACTAGCATTAGTACCAGAGAAAGAGCAGGGTACTTCTAAAAGGTACATAGGCTCCTCAGTAAACAACAACCAATTCCAGTTCCACCATGATTCAGCTGGGAATGCTCTTGCAGAAGTGGAGACAAATGTCGATGAGGATCCATTGGACATTATGACAAGAAATGGCAGCCAACGGGAGGGACTCATAAGTCCAACCAAAAGACAGGCTATTTATGAAAACCACGAGTCCACTCCAAACTATTACCAACAAAGGCAGCCTTCGTCACACCGCTATCCTCAACAGCAGTACCCCTCACATGCATTTTCACAGTGTCCTTCCCCAATGAATCAACCTTCCTATCATCACCAGAACAACTCCCAGCTTCACAGACCCATCAACTGTAGAGCCTCCAATCCTAGTCCGCTGCGTCACAACATCTTCCCAGTTTCTCAAAACAATTCGGATGCCTTTAACAACAGCAGAGACTTCAGCAGTTCCTCCAATCAACAGATGAGCTATAGTGGCAGCCAGATACCAAACCGGCCTCATCAAGATTGGCTAGGGTATAAACAGACGGAGATGGAGCAAGTAAGGCATACTTCTGAATGTCTCCCTGGCCAATCCGCCCTGTCTACAAACATCAGTAGAGACAGAGGCCTATATCTTCCTTCATCAGACTGCGATCCAGTGTACAGCCATCTGGACTATGACTGCATTACGCCCTCATCAGTGTCTTCTCAAAACACCCAGCCACACTGCCAAAGTCTACCACAATCATACACACCAACTCATTCATCGAGCCATAAGGTTTTACTTGCTACTACAAAGAATCAGTCACAGCCTGATTCCAGACATTCTCTGCATTTAAATTTAGGCCATGTACCAACTCGGCCCCAGTCTGGTACAATAGACCCCAAAGCTCCTAGCCCATGTAAGTCCAAGTCCCTGGGAGACCTGACCTCTGAAGACATATCATGCAACTTCCAGAGCAAATACCACATCATTAGCCGCAGTTTTGTCACTCCAAATATGAGAAAGCAAAAGAGGGTGGGCGCCATGGGGGAAGTAACTTTCCAATCACAGTCTTGCGATCCACTCACAGAACAGCTGCGTAAACTGGTCAGTTTAGAAGTGGATGACTGTGACAGAGATAGACCCCAACCTCCTCAGTTGTGTCAGGCAGCAAAACCCCCACTGTCGCAGCCACAGGCAACCAGTGTAGCTCCTGTTGTTCCTACGGATGTAGATGATTCACCCCCACCCCTTACCCGGCGTCTATCTTCACGGAGCCAAAGCCGAGTGCGTCACATCAATAGTCGGGCTCGCGAAAGACAGCAAGAGGCTCTAAAGCCAAGAGCAGGTGGGATGATCAATAGTACCTCCAGCATCGGTGGAGTGGTATTGAGGAATAAACCAGCCTCACATAATCCACCAGCTAACAGACACTCCACTGGTTCTTACATAGCAGGCTACCTTGGTCAGTTGGAGGACAGGGGACTTCCTGAAGGAGCCTGTACATCATTACGTTATGGAAACAGGGATCATTATGGAGATCGGTACTATACAGATGACTCTCTTCCACCTGGTGATGCCAACTACTCTGCGTCAGAGCCGGAGGTGTACTTTCTGCTTCGACTGTAACTCTGACCATAACCTTAAATAAGTTTAACAATCAAGCAATGATTCTTGATAATGTTCAATACCAAAAGCCAGAAGATCTAGGAAATGAATACACACTGTTGTTTGTTCCAATGTTCACAGACCAGTAGGTTTTTATTATAACCGTCAAATAAATCTTAACCTGGGCTTTTTCTAGAGAAAGATACGGTCTGTACAATGTCCGCGAGACCTCACATGTATTCCAGGGTTGGATCTGACAGCATGAATTTCCTGTATGAAATGTCCACTATTCAATAGTGAATGGTCTTTCTTGTCTGGCAGACTATTGTCTATATTCTGCTTGATGTTTGTGTACTTGGGGACTTTAATTTCCTTCCAAATGGCTTCCTAGACTGATTGTACACATATTTGTTCTCTTAGTCCCTGTGATGTACTGTCAAAAATGTGTAAATTGACTATGAAGCAAAAAAAAGAGAGGGAATGTCGTATGTATTATGTGAATGTGTAGTATAATCCAACAGCTACTTTTAATAGATGGGGTTCCTCCTTTCAAAGATAAAATGTAAGTCTTCCTTCTCTTTTTAGTGGTATTCCTTTAATTGTGTTATGTGTTAACATTTCTGTCATTGTTTTTAATCTGAGATGGGTTTTAGTTGAGAACAAACTAACTGTACATTTATGTTTGTGCATGTTACCTGTGAACATGTCAAGCATGACTATGCACAAATGTATACAATAGATGTTGCATCGCCAAACATTTGCACAGAAAAAGAGTTGGATAAACAGAGGACATAGGCGTGTTTGTATTAGTTGCAATACAGTACATAAACTTCCATGCTTGGACTTGGTGTTTTCTATGCTTTCCAACATTTGAAAAAGAAAAAGGATTGCAAACTATTAAACATTTGAAGTTGAAAGTTGTTATTTTATTTTATAATTGCTTTGATACAGACTACAAAATTAAGCTCTTGTTGGTAACAGTTGTTTAATTTTATTAGAACTTGAAGAAATGAAAATACATTGACTACAGTAACTGAGGTGAGTCTTTTTTATTGTTTCAGTGTTAAATCATTATTTTCTCTGTCATTTTGCTCATCGGAGGACTGTGAGCTTTTTCTTACCAATGCAATAAAACATTGAAATACTTGATTTCAACAAATTCCATGTTTTTTTCCTGTTTATCTGAAAAAGCTATACACGGAACATACAAATGATAATTAGCTCAAGCTCAAAATGTATTGGTTGGAACTGGAAGTCACAAACAGCCTCCTTCCCCATATGCCACCTTGGCACATAATGGGATGTAATTGCTCATGAAATTACTGTGTAATAGGGCTGACAAAAGGCACACCTGTTGCTCTGGGTAAACAATTCCCTGTACTGGGTCTGCCAGTGTAATATTCCTGAGAAATCTAAAAGAAAAATATCCTTAGAGTTGGTTTATTCTTTCATGCTCACTTTTCAGCTCATTAAGAAAAAGGATAAGCAGCCTCCCGAAACATTTCACTTAAGGTACATTATCCCAGTTACCTGAGGTCATTCAAAAATACATCCTACGGTGCTGTCTATAGGAAAAACACTGTACACACCTACAACACCCACAACTTGCACGCTAATCACTTGCATTTTCCACTATCACTCTAGAGATGAATAATTGTGGATTGTGTCATCAGTTTTACTTCCCTGCAAAAAGCTTTACACCTGTTATAAACACTCACATCAACACCTTACTTGAGCTAAATGGGGGTGTGGTTGTGTTTTAGTCAAGATACCATTCATTTAATATAGTAACCTTGTTATTGGAGCCTTTTACCAAACGAAACAGGTTTCTGTTTATAGTGTCCTCTTTTCGCAGGTTACTGGCATGAGGCTATGATGTTACATTTGGACATGCATATTTAATGGGATCTTTCTTTTGTATCAGGAACTGTTGTCCATGAGGTATCGTTTATTTTTAATTTGTATTCAATCTATAGTCAGGGTTGATTAAGTGGCTTTGATGTGTGTTGGATTTGCACAGACTTAATGTATTGATGCATTTTCCCACATTCAGATAACAATTACCTGTATGTGTTAAATGTTCAGAACAGCTGCATCGATGTCTTGGTTCCCATGGCTTCTCACTCGGTGGCCATCCTCAGCCTTCTATCTGCTGCTTATCAGTGTAGGGGGCCGACAGACAGGGCTGGAGGTCGGCCAGGCAGTACAGTGCACCCAGTGGGCAGCAACGAGCAGCAAGAGCAATTTCCAGGATGGAGATATGGTTATTGGTGGACTTTTTAATCTATATTACACACCATCAGCTGTAGAGCAAGGATTTACCAAGCTGCCTCATTACAAACCTTGCACTGGGTAATACTGAATGTATGGTGGTTGTTTTTCTGCACATTGTCTGCATTTTTTTAATTGTCTGCCAACATTACAACTTTATAAATAATTTGTTTAACTTTTTTGTTTGAAGAAAAGTTATAGAATAATGAAACATGTTTTATCCAATTATTGATAAAACATTTTAAATGTGCATGTATCTGAGATAAGCATTTTTTTATTATTGTAAAATAATTGGATATTTTTGATTGAAAAACATAATGTTGGTATATTACATTTTTGGACATTAACAGCTTTTACAATTCTGACCATGTCCATTCACAGTTTTTTAAAATTTTGTTTACATGATTCACTATTCCTTTCTTTTCCTATGCTCTCAGTTTAGATTTAATGTCTTTAAAAAATGCATATGCTATGGTGTTTGCCTTGGAGGAAATCAATCGTAACAGCACCCTGCTACCAGGAGTAAAGCTTGGCTACCGTTTACTGGATAGCTGTTTCAATTCTCTCTGGGCTCTGCAATCCGCTCTGTCACTGATCGGAGGAGACGCACACAGCTGCAACTCAACAGCCTCAAATAGTTCTGCAGCTTATGATCAACCTGGAGAGAAAGCAGGTATGACTTGATATAATTTACTAAGTATTTTTTTTATATTTTAAAAACATTGTCTTGTCAACCTAATGTATTTATTTGTGAAATGCTATCAGGTGGTCAGTCTGTTCCTTTGCTTATTGGTGCTGCGTCGTCAACAACAACCCTAATTCTTTCCCGGATCCTGGGGCCTCTCTCTGTGCCACTTGTGAGTTGATTAACCTGGAGTGATGAACCTCTGATTCACTTTTGTATGCACATCAAGAGGGAGATGCTATTTTAAAAACATTTTAATTGAAATTAAATCAGAATCAGAATCAGAATACCTTTATTAGTCCCACAGAGGGGAAATGCACATTGTTACAGCAGAAAAGAGCCAAAGACAGCTTAATGTTACCCAAGCATGCATACAAAAAGTAAAAAAGTTACACATTTTACAAAAATACACACCCTGTAACAGTTCTGAGGAGCCAGGTATATATTGCACAGTTTTAACGGCATATATATATATATATTGCACATATTGCACATAGTTGGCATTTAACAACAAGAGTTGTTATAGTCTGTGTTGTTGTGAAAAGCAGTGTGAAATAAAATAATATGTTCCTACTTGTTTCTCTCAGATCAGCTACTTGGCAAGCTGCCCCTGTCTTAGTGACAGATACAAGTTTCCCAACGTCTTCAGAACAATCCCCAGTGATTTATACCAAGCCAGGGCCATGGCTCAACTGGCCATTCGCTTCCGCTGGACTTGGATAGGAGCCGTGGTTATAAACAATGATTATGGTAATTTGGCGATACAGGTGTGTATATTTTTGTTATTACTGCATATTGCACTATAAATTGCCTGATAAAAACACTCCCACTGTTTTCTTACATACAGTGTATAATACAGATTACAAAACATCTATGCATTTTTCTTGTTTTGACCTTTAGACATTTCAGAAAGAGACTCAGGGGAAAGGGGTTTGTTTGGAGTTCATAGAGACTGTTGGCAGAGAAACTATTTTAATCGACGCCAGACGTGCAGCCCTCAAAATCCAAGCTTCGACTGCGAAGGTCATTCTGATCTTTTGCTGGTATACAGATGTAAAGAAAGTATTTCTGGAACTAGCAAAGATACATGTGAGCAACTGGCATGGATTTGTATATATCCCTATGTGTTCATCACTAAACAAATATATTGTTTGTTTAAAAAAAAATGTCATTGGATTTAAATTTATTTCAGTTTGCTTTTACTGTAGGTGACAGACAGACAGTTTCTCGCCAGTGAGGCTTGGAGCACAAGTGATGAAATTCTCAAAGATCTTGCCATCTCTAAAGTGGCCAGTGGTGTTCTTGGTGTGGCGATTCGAAGTTCAAAAATACCCGGATTTGAAAACTATCTCAGGAGTTTGAACCCAACTCGTCACCCTGATGATGATTTCTTACGAGAATTCTGGGAAATGGAGTTTGGATGCAGTCCAGGAGCTACACAATCACAGGCAGTGCCTCTGTCTTCATATTTGTCTCCACTGAAGAAATTGAACAATCGGTTAAATGTTTCTACTTCATCTCTTTCTAACAAGTCCCTTATGAAAGCTTCACTTCCACCGTGCAGCGGCAGAGAGTCCCTGGAGGAAGTGCAGAATCACTTCACTGACACCTCTCAGCTAAGGGTGGCATATAATGTTTATCTTGCTGTTTATGCTGCAGCCCACGCCCTCCACAGCCTTCTGTCCTGCCCCAACAGAGACAGCTCATCTGGAAGGAACTCCAGCTGCTCTTCTTCAAAACAGATCAAACCCTTTGAGGTAAACACAATTATACCCAACTCCTAATATCTGTCATAGCTCTTGAAAACAAAGTGAATCAATACATGTTTTAATTAATCATTTAAATGTCAACAGTGTCATAAGCATTTTATACTTTCAGCTGTTGCAGAGTTTGAACAAAGTAAACGTCACCACACCACAAGGGGAAATCTTTTATTTCGAAGGTGCTGACATCCCAGCAAAGTACGACCTTGTTAACTGGCAGAACACCCCTGAGGGGTCACTCAAACTTGTTTTGATTGGTCGTGTTGACGGGTTTGACATCAACCTTATGAGTCACATTGAGTGGAACTCAGTTCGACGAATCACGGTAGTTGATCAATCAAGTTTATCTCATGGCTACTACATTATTTGCTATCGAACCATGAATGCAGCGTTGATTTACAAGACGGCATTGAAAAAATTTTGTGCTTGTTTTTTAGGGCCTGTGTCAGTGTGCAGTGAGAGCTTCCACCAGGGCCACCAGAAAAGGCAAACAGGAAAGGAAACCTCTCTGCTGCTTTGACTGTATCCAATGTGCTAAGGCGAGATAAGCAATGAAACTGAGTGAGGGAATAACCACAAAAACAAACTTTAATTTCCCTTTTGTGTTTTAACTTTCCTTCCACCTCTTTCCTTTTTCCTCCCCCGGTTCCCTTCTTCGCGTGTGAGCGTTGCTGTCCATCTGAGGTTTTGTCAATGTAGAACAAACTGCCTTGCATCCCTCGACAGCTGGGACTTTCCTTTCCTTTAATGACAACCTTAGGAATTACTCTGGACTACGCAGCTGTTGTCTGTGCAGCGGTGACCAGCCGTGTTTGTTCTTTTTCTTTATTACCGTCAGAACCCAGTGGGTAAGACCAGAATAATAACCAAAGATTGTTGTATTCATTTGAAATTCTTTTCACACTTTTTGTGTGATAAAAACATTATGTATAAATCACCACCTCTTTGTCTGTAATCTGATTCACCTCAAGGTGCGAGCCAACGAATTTCAGTGCTGAGCTTTGCCTGCTTCTCCTGTCACTGAAGCTCTGCTTCCTGCTGCTCCTCTGGTGTTCATTGGTCGTCCACTGTTGGACTTGTCGGTTCCAGCAGGCAGCATTTCGGGATCCGCTTTTGTATTTGTGTCTCCTGCTGCTGGTCAAAACCCTCGTAGTTCTTTGCTGTTTTCCGCTTCAGCTCGGGCCTGGTGCTGGATTCCTTGGTATGAAGTGGTTTGGTCCAGCCAACCAGGAGGAGGAGGTCTGCCTATTCCTCCATACAGGTGCGAATATTTTTGTATTTCTACAAAGATAGCTTTCTAACTTTAAAAAAAGTACACTCTTTGTTTTTTTCATTTGATTATAATCGTGCTACTTGGCTTCCGCTCGAGCCCCCCTGTACGCTCGCGTGACGTTGGATTTCCAGGGTCGCA